GCCTGGGGAGTCAACTAGCGAAATTGTGGTGACTTTTCTTTTTAGACCATAATTTGATATTTTCAAATCCAACTAAATTTTCAACTTCCAATTGGGCTTCAAAATAGAACTTCAACTAAAATTTGACGAATATAGTTCAAATAAGATTCCAAACAATATTTTCAATAGAATTATAGTCACACCCTAATTCTAATAGTTATATTTCTCATCATGTATTTCCACCACCGCTGATGACAATTGTTGTAAGAGTCTATAGTATTACACATATTTACTAGTTATTTTCATATACACCATGGTCGAATGTCATGACCACCAACTCTAATAATCAGTGTTCTACCATTGTTGTTGCTTCCACTATGTGTAATATGCCATGTCCACTAAATCGTTAACTCTAATATATTAATGTACCAAGGGATTAGGAATTATCCCTTCAACGTACCTTATAATAATAACTAAGATGTTTTAGGAATTATCATTTTTGCATCTTTTATAATAATTTATGAAATGGTGGTAGAATAATACCTCTTGATCTACTCGGTGGCCTTTGGCGTCCTGCTACTCCAACATGCGAGTGTAACCTGAAAATGAGGATGGGGCTTTCTCCCCCATTTTACCTCCGGTGTGAGAATCAGTATATGTGTGAGGAGAAATAAGGATGGAATTCAGATGACTGAAAAATATGCAAGCATCCATACATGTGACGCCTTCGGGGGTATTTATAGACGTTGGAAGCCGAGTGAGAGCTGGGTGGTTGTGGTGCCCGTGTCCCCACATTGGCCTTTCCATTACCCAATGTTGTGATGGGGGGATCTTAACTTTCCATCCGGAGGTTGTGCCTGTGGTAATGGCCATGTAACCTTGTAAATTCATTGGAGATTTTGTGAATAAGTGTTGAGATGACCCCATAGGTAATTCCATACCGGTCGATGGTCTTGCTTTGAGGTAGAGTACCCAGGGAGGTTGATGGCCTTGCATCTGCGTGTAGTGATCTACCTCGCTCATCATCAGAGATTTTTTCTATGTTAACTGATATCATTAGCCCCTACTCCTTGTCGATGTTTTTTCAGCAAGGAGTAGCAACTTTCCTTATCCGATTTTTTTTTTTTTTTGCCAATTCGTAAAATTAGTTCGTGTAAGTAAGTCGAGCAATACAATTAAAACTAGGTATCTACTTTACTGCACACTTGGCACCCAACAAATGGGCATAGCCTTGGAGGGAACCCCCCCCCCCCAATTTGAATCCCTTCGCCTATAAAAGGAGATGGTCTCCTTTTGTGAATCATTTTTACTTCTTCCAAATTTTAATTTTCCTTTCCTTCAAGGTAACTCTCTTTTCTTCTTCTTATCCCAAGATTTATTTTGAATTTTGCTCTATTCCTCTTTTACTTTTTCTCTTTTTTTTTTTTTTTTTTTTTTGGTCATGTACAAGACTATTCTCACTTCTTTTTCCTATAAGAGTAGCGATAGGGGCGAGTGGGTCGATTGACCCTTCATTGGAAGGATCGATCGACGTCAGTGGGAGTCCGACTGACCGGTGGGTCCACCGACTGGTGACTAGCCATTGGCTAGTCGACGCTCGGACAGTCAAACCCCTTGGCTAGTCAAGCGACTAGCCGCGAGGGTCGGCTAGCTCGAGGCTAGTCGACCTTTGACCTACCCCCGAGCTGGTCGACCACCTGGTCTCTTAGCTGGACTTGTCGGTGATTCCTTTCTTTTGTCTGATATATCCATTTTTGACTCTGATAGTGAAACTCAATTAACCGACCTTCAAATATTTGTTTCAAACTCTCCTAAGACACACATTGGCTCCACCAAGTTTCCGAACCAAAATTTAGAAATTGGACGGGATCCTCCAATGAGATTATCCCTCTTAAGATTCCAAAAGGTTACAGTCTCTATAATTCTCCACTTAAGTTGAAAAAATGCTTTAGTAGGTATGATCGGGTTGACGATTATGTCTATAGAGCCCTCAGTCCCAAAGAAAGACTCCCCAGCTCCGATCCCTACAAGATAGCTGTATAGAAGGACATTATGGATGTTGGTTTTCGATTCTCCATTCATTTCTTCTTTGAGTCGATTTTCAATGAATTCCATCTCACTCCTAGTCAAATAAACCCCAACACTTGGAGAAAAGCATTGTACTTCTTATATGTTTGCCTTAGGAGGAGAACTCCACTTTCCATAGACCTCTTTAGGTGCATCTTTGAGATGCATGAACTAGCTTAATGCAATGCGTTTTTCTTTCTCACTACTTGGGTCCCTTTGCTATTTCCTAAGTTTAGGAATTCGAACAGTGGGTGGAAATCTCGGTTCTTCTTCACTCGACCTTCAGTAGGTCAGTTTCCTTTCAATACCAACTGGCGGCATCCCCAAATTCGCTTTTCAATAGCCAAGTAGAAGCTATCTCTATTCTAAAAGCTCAAATCCAATAGTTGGTTGATATACCCCCTCTCATACCTAACTTAGGATTAGTCCTGACCATGAGGAACATGTTGATAGTGGGGATGAGTCGTCCTACTGGAAGGTTGTTTTCGTTGGTTTATATTATTTTTGGCTTGCACGGCATCCCCAAATTCGCTTTTCAATAGCCAAGTAGAAGCTATCTCTATTCTAAAAGCTCAAATCCAATAGTTGGTTGATATACCCCCTCTCATACCTAACTTAGGATTAGTCCTGACCATGAGGAACATGTTGATAGTGGGGATGAGTCGTCCTACTGGAAGGTTGTTTTCGTTGGTTTATATTATTTTTGGCTTGCACATATTTTGCTTGTTGCTTTTCAGGACTAATGAGTTTGGGTACGTGCATACAGATATGGACTTTGATCTTGATGAGGCATTGAAGACCCTATCGGGAAGCGACGAGGGCCTCACTCCCATCGATGGTAAGCTCTTGAACTCTTCTTTTTGTTTCATGTTTTCACACTCTTTCGTTTTGCTAACTTAACAGGTCTTACCTTACATGTATAGGGATGAAGTTTGACCTAGAGGGGACCATAGATTCTATACCTGAACAGGGGCATAGAAGTGATGTTGATCTATCCTTCGTCCCCTTAAAAAGAAAGAAAACAACTGACCATGGAGGAAGGTCACAAGTGGCCAAAGAGACCCCTCAGCCTTCAAATGAGCCTAACGAGGTTACTTTTGTCCTAAGCTAAGCATTTCTAGCCGTATGCGATATGAGCATGAGGGCTCACTTTCTAATTTTGGGTTTCTTCCCACCTGGGGCTATCATGAATGGGGATACTTAAGTCTTTGGTGATGCCCATCCAAGCCATAGCAATTGCAGGATGTAGCGTAGATGACATCGAAAGGGACATGGCGGTCTATCTCTAGAGGGTAAGTTCCTAATTCCATATCTCTTTTATGCTGAATCTTATCTTTTGAGCATGGTTTTAACATTCGACTTCCACTTTGTCTCCTCATCCCTTAGGTGGTGGCCCTTTAGACCGGGCTTACTAAATAGAGTAGTCACCAGGTTTTAGAGTTGAAGACTTTTGCAAAAAAAGGAAGAAAGATGCCCATCATTACAAGAAAAGGATATCTTCCTTAAAGAAATCTCTAGAGGCATTGTAGGCTCAAGCCCGTGAGCTGGAGATAGAAAATGATAATTTGCGATCTGTGTTGGCTTGTGCTTCAAAGGAGGTGGTCGAGAGGTACAAGTTGAGTATACTCGGGACTTAGAGGTATCCGTGGAGCAGTACAAGTCATCGTCTGATTATGACAAGGCTTTGCATTCATATGGGTGGAAGGCAATGACGGTGTCCATCAAACTAACCAAGGAGTGTATATTGGCCAAGTATCCTTCTATTGACCCCTCAGGTTTTGATAAGTTCCTTGTGCAGCATAAGGGGAAGGAGAGTGGAGCGTAGCCATCCAGGTCACTCGGGCATTCGTCACGGGACGATGTGGGGTAATTTTCCCTTCGAGTTGAAGCGTGGCTTAGTAGTAGTACCCTTTGTTAGCTCCCTACCCTTTTTGTGTTTTCTTTTATTTTTTACTTGTAGCATCATTTCCTACTTATTCTGGGTGTGGGCAAGAGCACATCATATGTTTTTTTATGAATGCTTTGTTATCAACTATTACTATCATTGAACGCATCGTTCTTTTAACTTACTTTTTCTCGCGTTGTTTTTATCGTTCAGTCGTTTGATAGCATAGGGAAATGACACTCATTATGCGCATGCCAGATTTAAGTCTAATGGTTGGTGGCCTTAGCCATTTTTTTTTACTGTTTAAGGCTCCCGCCTAGTCGCACGGGCTATGTAGACCGTCGAGAGAAGGGTTTAGAGATTAAGGGTCTCAGCCAATTTTTTGGCTTCTCAAGGCTCTCCGCCTAGTGGCGTGGGCTATATCGACCATTGGGAGAAGGGTCTAGCGGTTAAGGGCTTTAGCCAATTTTTTGACATTTTTTCAAGATTCTCCGCCTAGTCGCGTGGACTATGTAGACTGCATGTCCTCACGGGATGAGCATGGGGGATTCAAGACTACATGTTAGCACATAAAAATACTTGGATTCATGAGCTTAGTAGGTGCACCGGGACGTCCCAACTAGGCTGGCCCTTCCTTAGCGCACTCATCATCCGCCACTATCAAGGTCTTTCATTGAGTAAGATAAATAATTGCAACTAAGGGTGCCTTCATAAGTTGTTACATGGAGAGAATTAACAATACATACTATTCTACTGTATTTACGAAAGCATAGCTTGTGCATCTACCCTGAAGTCTACTGGTAGTATTTTTTTAGATTCACTGTATTCCATGGCCTACCCAATGGTCTTCCTTTCATGTCTTTTAGGTTGTAAGTGCCCTTTCCCAAGCTACAGATCACTTTAGACGGGCCTTCCCAGTTTGGTTCGAGCTTTGCCTAGGGGTGTCCTACTGCTGCTATATCCTTTAACACAAGGTCTCCTGGCTAGAAGATTCTTGGTTTCACTCTCCAATTGAAGTACTGAACAACTCTTCGTTTATAAGCCATAATCTTTATTGTCGCCTTATCCCTTACCTCCTTAAGCAGGTCAGTTCTCCTCTGGTCGTTGTGTCATCGGGCTGCTTGACTTTCATCCTACCAATCTCACTTAGGATCTCAACTGGAACAACTACTTTCATCCCAAAGGTTAGTCTGAATGGTGTCACCCCGGTCGGTTCCTGTGGAGTCGTGTGATACGCCCATAACACATTAGGCAGCTCATCTGTCCAAATCCCTTTCTCCTTTTTCAACCTGGTCTTTAGATCCCAGAGAATGACTTGGTTTATCACTTTGGCTTGCCCATTTGATTGAGGGTGGGTGATCAAGGCCAATCTATGATTGATGTGATGACTTGCACAAAAGGTCTTGAAGCTATGATTGTCAAATTGTCTGCCGTTATCTGTCACCACCACCCTGGGTATCCCGAATCGGCATATTATATTTTTCCATACAAAGCCTTGTATTTTTGCTGTCGTGATGGTCGCCAATGGCTTCGCCTCTAACCACTTATAGTCAATGGCAACCAGCAAAAAAATTTCTTTGCCCCTCGGCCATGGGCAGAGGTCTTAAAATATCCATTTCGCACTGAAAAATGCGCATACCCCAAAGATGGCTGCCTGCTATTCAACTGGGACATGGATCAAATTTTCGTGTCGTTGGCATGTGTTACGTTTCCGTACCAACTCTTTGGCATCATCTTTCATAGTTGGCCAATAATAACCTTGTCACAGAATTTTGAAGGCAGGGAATGTTGTCCCTTGGTGGTTACCGTAAGTCCCAGCATGTACCTCAAATAGTATCTATTTGGCTTCGATGGGTCTTATGCATTTCAGATATGGCATGTAAAACTCCACTTGTAGAGCTGCCCATTGATGATGGTAAATGAAACTGCTCAAGCTCTCAGCCTCCTCGCCTCAAAGGGGTCTTCTGGCACTTTATCTTCTGTGAGATACTCGATCAATGGATCCATCTAGCTTTCCTGTGATCAATGTTTTTTACCTCAGCCAAGCGCTGAATGCTGGGTTGTTGTAAGACTTACACGTTTGCTATTCATGGTAAATTTCTTGGCTTGGCCGATGCAAGCTTTGTCAATGCGTCAGCCTGCACATTATCTTTTCTTTGGACCTTCGTCACCTTAAAGCTTGTGAACCCTCTTTGCAGATCCCTTACTTTCATTAGGTATGCTACCATCCTTCCATCTTTCGCTTCATATTCCCTCGACTTCTTCTTGACTATTAGCTGCGAGTCACTGCATATCTCTATTGAAGACACTCCTAGCCTAACTGTCAGACCTAGTCCTATGATTACTGCTTTATACTCGACATCATTATTGGTAGTGTGGAACTCAAAGTGCAGTGAGTATTCCAATTCTTCGAAGTCTGGTCCAATCATTATTATCCTTGCTCCTGATCTCTTTGTATCTGAGGAATCGTCTACAAAAACCTTCCAATCTACTTTCTACTCTTCTGGGGGGCTCTATTGGGATGGTGAGCTCAATAATGAACTCTGCCAGAGCCTGTGCTTTGATGGCCGTCCTGGGCCTAAATACAATATCAAATTCACTTATTTCAATTGCCCATTTCTGCAACCTCCCAATTTGTTTCACCACAGAAAATTATTTGATTCTTGTCTTTCAAAGAATCTCCATGATAAAACCTTTTGTCCTTATTTTAACACAGGAAGCACCGGCTTCTTCTCGAACATGGAAAATGATCCAATGAATTCGAAAGAATTGAACGAGCAGGGAAAAGAAGTTCATGACTGTGGGCCTTCTTTTTCGATCGATGGAGGATTTGTTTGATGGGTTGGTCAGTCATTACTTATACCGTATGGGACTAAAAGTAAGGTCTTAACTTCCTGGTTGCAACAATCAATGCGAGCACCAGTTGTCTAGCCAAACTGTATCTTGTCTTTGCGCCTTTGAGGACTTGAATGACGAAGTAGACTGGTTTTTGTGCCTTTGGAAATTCTTTCACAAGAACCGCCCTTTCTGCCCATGGTGTTACCGCGAGGTAGAGACACAGTACATCCCCTGAGCATGGGCTGGTCAAGATAGGAGGCTGCTGTAGTAACCTCTTCAAGGATTCTAATGATTCTTCGCACTCTTGAGTCCACTCGAAATTTGTGGAGCCCCTATGGCTTTAACGAAATGGTAGCACTCATCCACCGCCCTACTTATAAAATGATTAAGGGCCACCAAGTGCCCTATTAGCCACTGGACCTCTTTCTTACTAGCAGAGCTCTTCGTCTCTAATATCGCCCGTATTTTGTCGGGTTCACCTCAATACCTCTTTGGGTGATCGTGAAGCCTATGAACTTTCTGCTGGTAGTACAAAAAACACATTTATCCGGGTTGAACTTCAAGGTATTATGTTAGGCTACATCAAATACTTTCTGTAGACAAGCCACATGGTTGATGGCCTTGATACTTTTTGCCATCATGTCATCGAGGTAGGCTTCTATGACATTCTCGATCAGCTCCCGGAAGACTCTATTCACCATCCTTTGGCTCCTGCATTTTTGAGGCCGTACTGCATGGCTGTGTAACAATAGGTTTCAGAAACTGTGATAAATAATGTCTTGTCCTAGTCAAAACTAGCATGATATTGGCCAACCACTCAGGGTACTGTACCTCTCAGATGAAACCACCTTGTAGTAGCTTTTCCACCTTCACTTTTGCTACTTCCTACCTTTCGGGGGTAAGATTTCTTTTCTTCTGCTTTACTGGTTTGGCTCCGGGTAGGACACCGAGGCAATATTGAATGATTGCTGGGCTGATCCCAATAATGTCGTTTGGCCTCTATGTGAAAACATCTATGTTGTCTTTCAGGCACCTTACCAAATTTTCTTCAGATTCCAAACCGGCCCCAACGCTAAACTCCCGTCCTTTTGATATGGAGATCTTTTCAACCATTTCAAATGGTTCGATCAGTCCTTTCAGAGGTTTGACCTCCAACATCAGGATCGATGGTGCTCCCTTGACTGATATACTATCAACATAACATTTCTTGAATGCTTGTTGGTCCCCTCACACATACCCGACACCCTGCTAGTTAGGAATTTCATGACCTGGTGATAGGTTGAAGGGATGGCTCCAACCGTGTCGTGGTCGACTGTAGATTGCATTATAGGCCATAGGAATTTGACAACTAAGAAACTTGCCACAATCATCATAGTGGTCGGATAAGTGTGAGCACGACAGGGAGCTCCATAGTTCCCTCCGAAATTACGATGGCCCCTCCAAAGCCTTGTAAGGGGGAGGTCACCATTTTCAACTTGTTGGGGGAGATCTTTAAACCTAAAAAAGCATCCCATGTAAGTACATTTGTAGCGCTTCCTCATTAACTAGCACTCTCTTAACGTTGAAATCAGCTGTCGCCTATTATTACCAAAGCATTTTCATGGGGTTGTGCTACGCCTACCAAATCTTCCTCATGAAAATGTGATGTTCTGACTAAACCTTGCTTTCTTTTGGATGAAATAGATCCCAAGAGAATGCGCATAGCTTTCCTTGCTGAGTTTGAATCTCCGTCTTCTGCTATCTCTCTTGCAATCATGTTTATCACTTCGGCCCCGGGTGGGGGACGATTCTCCACTTTTTGTTTACCCCGGTTGTCCTTCACATATTTGTCCAACAGCCCCATCTCAGGAGGTGCTCGATCTCCTCCTTCAGCTGCAGTTATTCTTTAGTATTGTGCTCGTGATCCTTGTGGAAATTATAATATCTGTCCTAGTTTCTCTTGCCGACTAGCGTTACCATGGGCCTCGGCCATTCTAGCTCCTTCATGTCTTGTATCTCCATCAATAACTTCACGCACGAGGTGTTCAAAGGGGTATATGCCTTGGACTCCTCTCGTTTCTGCCTGTCAGTCTTGGGTGGCCCTTACCCATTTGCTCACTCCTTGTCTTATTTTTGTTAGCAGACCTTAGCTCGTCTCCTACATTCGCTTGTGACTCTCCATTTCTCATCCCTCTCTGAGGTTTTTATGACTTTTTTCATTTCTTTGGCATCAACATATTTGTCTCCCTTTTCAACAGGTTGTGCATTGACTCTAGGGGGTTCTTGGAAAGTAACATCTTAAAGGCCAGGGTCCGAGATCCGTTCATCAACGCAGTCATCACTGTTGACATTTGAAGATCCTCTATTCCAAGGACGCGCGGCTGAATTTGGCTAGGTATTTTTGCAAAGACTTATCCTTCTCCTGGACTACTTGCATCAGTCTAATGGTCGTCTTCCTCTTTCTTTTGCTACTGTGGAAATAGGCCACAAAACTCCTGAAAAGTTCATCAAACGTACGGATAGACCGAGGGATAATGTCTAGCTTCCTTCCTGAGGGTCGAGGGAAAGGACCGGCACATCACTGCATCAAGTGTTGCATAAAGTCTCATTAAATCAACAAAGGCCCGAAGATGGTCAAGTAGATCTGTGAGCCCATCGCAGGCTTCTATCATAGGCTGCTTGAAGCTTGGGTAGAGGGACCACCATGATCTCAGGCACATACGGGTCCTCTTCCAAAACTATCTGCCTACGCTTGTCCTTTCTCCTGGATAATGCATCATTTATCTTTTGCGACATTATCTCCTCCATCCTCCGTTCCAGATCTGCCATGGGTGTCTCGGGCTGCATAACCGTCATCCCTGGAGCCCCTGAACCAGTAGTCCCCGGTTGGATGATTGGTGGTGTTTCTGTGTGAGCCTCCTGGGGTGGCATTATAGCCTCGACCTATTGCGGCGGTGGAAAGGGTGGCTCTCTACGTTTGAATCTGCAAAAGGGTCATCATAGCGGCCAACTGGGTCTCCAGGGCGTTGAACTGACTTTGTGTCACATATTGAGGCAGTGGTGGCGGGTCGGGGCCTCTAGCGACTGATTCTGATTCCGTCTTCGCTGTTGCTGCCCTTAAGCGTGTATCACTTCTTGTTCATCTTCTTGACATAGCTTTCGTGTTTAGAGACGGCCCCAATGAAATGATGGTGGAATAATACCTCCGATATACTTGGTGGCCTTTGGCGTTCCTGCTACTCCGACAGGCGAGTGTAACCTGAAAAGTGAGGGTGGGGCTTTCTTCCCTGATTTACCTCCGACTTGAGAATAAGGATACATATTAGGAGAAATAAGGACGAAATTCAGATAACTGAAAAATATGCAATCATCAATACATGTGTCGCCCTCGAGGGTATTTATAGACGTTGGAAACAGAGTGAGAGCCGAGTGGTTGTGGTGCCACGTTTCCCCACGTTGACCTTCCTATTATCCCCACGTTCTGAGTGGGGGGTCTTAACTTTCCAGCCGAAGGTTGTGCCTGTGGTAACTGCCATGTAACCTTGTCAATTCATCAGAGATTTTGTGGCTAAGTGTTGAGATAGCCCTATAGGTAATTCTATGCCGGTCGATGGTCTCGCGTTGAGGTAGAGTGCCCGGGGGCATCGACAATCTCACATAGAGGTAGAGCGGCCCTGAGGGGTCGATAGTCTCTTGTTGAGGTAGAACACCCGGAGGTCGACGGTCTCGTGTAGAGGTAGAGTGCCCCCGGGAATCGACGGTCTCGAGTAGAGGTAAAGCCCACGGGGGGTCGATGGCCTTGCATTGGTGTGTACTATCTACCTCATTCGTTATCGGAGGTGGTTTACTATGTTAAT